AGAAGCAATTTTTTAAAAGTCCTTCCAGAAATAGGAATAAATGTATCGCAGTGGCTGGAACTGCTAGAGACCCTTTTTTGGGGGGAATTCTTTGACTCAGAATTGTGCAAAGCTAATAAAAAATAAACTCATTGCCACATTGCCATTTCTAAAAAGCCTTGTTTGTAACCTGTAGTTCAGAAATAAATAAATTGTATTAAAAAATAAAGCAGACTATTAAAATCCAAAGAAAGTGGCTATGTCGAGCATGTAATTATGATACTTTGGGCTAGAAAATAATTTCCAATCCTCTGATTTGTGCCTCGATTAGGAGATCAAACATTCTCTCTTTGCAAAGCCTGTGAAATGACTTTCCCAGTGAATTTTCTCTTTCTTTTTTTCCTTTCGGCCAATGGCTCAGACTACTAGATCTTTTTAAATAATGTTTTTTACATAATTTTTCCCAATTAGTTAATAGTGAATCTCTAATAAGATGTCTATGAAAGTACGCCTGTTTAGTTTTCCCCACATCCCATAGAAATGCGTGCCATCCTCTCTGAAGGTCGTGCCCTTCCAAGACTAGAATTCTTTTGTTCCGTAAATTGGCCCAGTCTTTTAACCATAATAAGTTGGCTGCCCAATAATATAATTCCCAGTTTGGAAGCGCTAGCCCACCTCTACTTTTTGCATCTTGTAAGGCCTTAATACTGATTCTAGCTTTTTTCCCTTGCCAAATAAATTTAAGAGTTACCTTATTTATATCATCAAAAAAAATTTTTGGTAATTTTATTGGGATTGTCTGGAATAAGTAAAGGAGTTTTGGTAAGATGTTCATTTTGATTGTGGCAATCCTGCCCAGTAGAGAAAGCTGCAACTTATTCCAAGATTCTAGATCTTTCTTAATTTGCTGTAACAGTTTATCATAATTATTCTCTTTGAGTGATTTACTATGTGGTGTTAACCATATGCCTAAATATTTGACCTTTTTTGTTGCCTGTATCCCCATGGTTTTTTCTAATTCTTTCCTCTGGTTCTCTGTTAGATT